CTTTGAAAATCCAAGGGCAACACACCAGCACCAGTTACACCCATCCAGATGCACTGAAAAAGTTATCGGCCCATATTTGTTCGAGAATGAGGATGAAAGGCCAGAAACGATTTCTGACAATGATTGACAACTTTTTGCGGGCAACGGCAGAGCAGCATCCTAATTTGTGGTTCCAACAAGATGGAGCGATTACGCACACTGCTAGGCAAACTATGGACCTGCTGCGGTAGGTAGGTAGGTCTTATTTGGCCCACCCAGTATCTTGCAGCTACATTTTCAATTGTACGAAAACTTCGTGGAGGCAAAATTATATATATTTTAATATAAAAGCAAAAATTGAGCCGTTTTCTGTTAAAATATTTGTTATTATGTGCTTGGATGCAAAATAGTCCATTGCCTAAATTTTTTAAGGGATTAAATCCGGCAAAAATACGTTTTAGAAGCTATCTTACAAATGCTTATATCAAGAATTAAAAAGCCCACACAAATATTGCCACTGATATAACTTATAAATGACAGCTGGACAGCAATAAATTTTATCCTGTGGAAACGGCCAGTTATGGACCGATATCGGTGCCAGTGGCTGAAATCGCTTTACACATTGTAACTGGCAATTGAAAGCTGGCAACTGATTGTTTGTGGTTGCCGCGGAAATGTTTATTGAGAAAATCTAATAATTTTTTTCAACTGTTTCTTCAGCTTATATACACTCAAGTCTTGGTTGCTAGTACTCCAAAAATTCTATTATTATCAACTTTATAGGACTTTATAGGACTGTTGCTATTCATTTTCATTTCAGTGGCGTTTCCCATCGGCAACCGAACTGAGGTTGCCTTGCAATCCATAATCGACTCATTAAATTACAATGGCGCCTCTAAACGGTACAGCAATAAATTTTATCCTGTGGAAACTGTGGACCGATATCGGTGCCAGTGGCTGAAATCGCTTTACACATTGCAACTGGCAATTGAAAGCTGGCAACTGATTGTTTGTGGTTGCCGCGGAAATNAGTATGGTTATTGTGCTTGCCAAATTTGAGGCCGCTTTTCATATAACGGTAAATTTCAGATATGCTTGAAATTTCAATATTTCGAAATTTAAGGACGCTAATTTACTTAAAATGTATACACNCTGGCAACTGATTGTTTGTGGTTGCCGCGGAAATGTTTATTGAGAAAATCTAATAATTTTTTTCAACTGTTTCTTCAGCTTATATACACTCAAGTCTTGGTTGCTAGTACTCCAAAAATTCTATTATTATCAACTTTATAGGACTTTATAGGACTGTTGCTATTCATTTTCATTTCAGTGGCGTTGCCCATCGGCAACCGAACTGAGGTTGCCTTGCAATCCATAATCGACTCATTAAATTACGATGGCGCCTCTAAACGGCAGAGGGAATTTGTACATACATAACTAAAGCTGAGTCAGTGCTGTTTTAGATTGCGATTTAATTCGAAATATATAACATATGAATGCACTTTTTTCTAAGTTTGAAAATTTCATTAAAATTTTCCAGCACAGTTTCGAAATTTCCCCATTTGGTAAGCGCAAAGAAAAGATTGCACATAATTTCTGCATTTGTTTTTATACCCGAGCGCACTTGTGCACAAGGGTATTATAACTTTGTTCACATAACGGTTGTTTGTAACAGGCAAAACGAATCGAGATAGATATAGACAAATGTATACATAAATGATCAGAATGAAAAGAGAAATNATGTTCGGCTCCGCCCGAACTTAGACTTTCTTACTTGTTTCAGCTTCAAATATTTATTGCATGCGAATAAGCGCTGTTGGTAATCGAAACTCCATAGGCAAGTGCAAATAAAATAAAAAATAAGTACAAAAAAGTATAAATATGAATGAGCGAGCTGGGTGCTCAGTTGAAGAAGAGAAGGGCCAGACCAACAGGTGACTGGCATAAAAAAATGTGTATATAGGAGTATCAACGTTTACATATATATTTCATACATCAGTATTAGTGCTTTTTTTTAACACATAGACTCGATTAACAATAATGATCGCCAATGAGCTTTGATTCAACGAGTAAAAGAGCGTGCGCAAAAAGGCAAGGAAGAGCGAAAGGCGAGTGAGTGACAGCTGTTGTTTCACAGCTGTTGCGCAGAAGTGATTATTTATTTTTACGTAAATGAAGTGAAAAAGAAATAATTATTTTCCACAACTTTCAGATATTGGACTGCTAATTTTGTGTGTGAGAAAGATGATTTGACTACATATACATACATAATAGAGAAACCACAACTGGCAATTCTTGCAGTTTTTTTTTTAATGTTTTCGTGACTGGATTGCCATGCGACAAGTAAGAAAAAGATGTTCCAGAATGTAGCGGACAAATTTAAAAAGTTTTAAGTTGTAAAACTTTGGTTCAGAGAAACATATGCAACTGTAATAACTGGTTAACAGAAAATCGATCCTTAATTTTAGGCAAATACACAACACAGTTTTATGTCTGCATAGACGGTCTCACATGCCGTCTGTGTAGGATCCAAAAATTTAGATTTTAGTCACCGATGCGTAGAGACCCGACTGTGGTGTGGAGTGTAGACGTGCGCGGATACAAATGGAGCAATATAAAAAATTTCTCGTAAAATTCTTTAAGACGGTATTTTTTTGTTTAGTCTGTTGACATGGTGTAAGGCGAGTTGCGTTGTAAGTGCATTGCGGTGAAAGTACTCGCGATGCGCAGACATACTGTGCAGTGTATTTGGCCTATTACACAGCTAAGCTTTCAGTTTAGCTGTACCGGCAAATGTTTGCGCCTTTGAAAATTGTGGCTATTTAACTTTTTTCTTTTTAGCTTTTAACAGTTCCATGTGATATTTGTTATCTTGCATGTACAAGTATGTATGTACATATGTATCTATAGTATTTTTCATTGGCAACCTCAGTAGTCACATGTCATGTGCTCCTCGTATGTGTGTATGTATGTATATGTCATCTACATACATATGTATGTATATATTTATGTAATTTGTAGCTGCCAAGCTCAGCTCGACCCTCAACACTGCTACACACGGCAGGTGGGGTATGCGGAGAGGTGGACATGGGGTTGTCACATTGCTAGCGAACAGAATATAGAGTGCGTACTACACAGAGAAAAAAGCACCTAATAAAATGGAACAAAACTAATAAGATACATATCTCTACGGTTTTCCGTTAAGAAGATATTCCTCATGCTTCCAGAGGGAAAAACTTTTTAATAAAATCAAAAACAAATCTTTTGCTTTTTATAATGTTTTCTAATTAAATGCAAAAAAAAAAAAGAAATTGAAAAAAAGTTCACGCCGACCTGTCCTCGAACCCGTGACTTTCTGTTTGGCAGTTTACAGCTCTACCTAGTCGGCTACGGTGGTCGCCTTACCGTCCGTATTCTATTAATTACAATGAATTTAAGATAAATTCAAGAAGACATCACATGAAAGTAAGAAGAACAACTTTTCAACAAATTGAAGTATACATCACATACAATTAAGAAGTATTTTTCATGAAACACTATTACACAGGTTTGTTAAATATTTTCTGTAGCAGCTAGTGCACTAGCAGCGAGAGCGTAAACACAAAATTGAGATAAAAAATAAAAATAAATCAATATACATACTATGTATGTAAAATAAAATAAAAAATACAAAAATAATAAAAAATAAAAAAGTAAGAAACAAGGCCCGTTCCACATGATTTGAACCCACGACTAAAAGGTCGTACTCGCATCCGTTAGGCTAGAACATCTATTGAGAAGACATGGAAAACATACAATCTTCAATTCATTGTCTATTTATTCAAGAAGAATTTACACATAAAATCTCTATGGAATTTTCTTAATTTTTTCGTCTGTTTACCCCATAGCCCAGAAACTTTTCATGCGTCATATTTTTCTCTGTGTATACATATAGGACGTTTGTGTCTAGGGAGGGTTGTTGTTTTCTCTGCTAGTATTTCTTTGATCGTGGGGTGGCTGTTAAAATACGGCATTAAGGGTATTTTCGCAGTCTTGCAAAGCACGGTTTGCGCGGTTTGCAAAGGCTTCCCATGCGTAATCCGGTTTTTACCGTGCAATCCGTGCAATTTGTGCACCGCGCAAGGGCTTTGCAAGACTCAGAGAATACCCCTATTGAAACTTTGATGAACGAATGCAAAGCTAATGAATAATTTTATGTGTAATATTAGCAGATGATGCATTTTTTCTATGCCATAGAATAATGGCAAAATAAGCAATTCTATGAATTACACATTGAGCACTCTTGAGTATTTTGCTATTGCATGACGCGGCTTCATTCACTATTTCCCCTCCTACGTGTGTCAACATTCATGTCACGCACACAACATTTCGCAATTTAAATGTTATGTAGATAGTAATTTTCGCAACCCTTTGAATCTTTTTTTTTTTTAATTTTTGCCGTAAAAATTGACACATATGAGAAGTTTGACACTTGCAGATCTTCACCGCTTCAATTTATAAAATTTATTTATTTTAATTGCGTACTTTAAGAATTTGTTAACACTTCATTAGCATAAAAAATATCCATTTTGCCTCCGAACGCAATGAACGTAAGAAACAACGCCCGAAAGCAAGGGAAAAAACAAGTGAAAAACACGCGCACACAAAATTGAATGGCGTTGCACTGTCAGACGCTTTGACGTTTCGTCTTTTATGAGTACACGATCGTCGAAAATGAAGCAGAAAAACCCCATATCAAGCAAAGTAAAGCAAACAAGTAAGAAAAACACTGAAAATCGTAGTAAGTTAAATATGGGTAAGCGCTAACGAATGGCTGCCGTTGCTGGCTTGCTTGAGTACTCGCTCTACTCGAGACGGGCGACGACTCGGCGACGAGCAAAATAAACCGGTATACAAAATCAAAAACACAAACAACAAGCGAGAAACACCAACAATCGCAAATAGCACGACAGCAATTTTACAACAAAATTAAACACAACACTGATATCTATATACAAACAAAAGTACATGTAATTTAGTACTCTATGTGTAGCGCAATGCGTGACCGTCATGATCAACAATAAAATCGACCGTACGACCTACTCTCGTTTGTTCACACAACCGCTCAACCGCTCGCTTATCCAACAACTACATTGCGACTACACGGCGATATCCGGTGGAAGCGTGTGGAGTACTCGCTGGATGTTAAACAACAGACAACAGTCCCCGCATCCAGCTATATACATATAGACATACACTATACAAATATGCTCTTTGCAACTCGACTCCCAGCCGAACCATGCGGATGTGCCTGTATTGGTGTTGGCGCGGTACAGCTCCGACATCGGTGGTGAGAGCGGTATTGCCACATGTGTATAGCCAGCTGGGTTGATTTACATTAGGAAAAAATCCACAAAATCTCCAATTTCGTAATTTAGGAGCGATCCACGAAAAATTTTTATAAAAAAATTGGTATTTACCTGAAATTCTACTCCTTTGCTTAACAAAAAACCTTACCGAAGCACGGTAGGGGTTTAAGTCGGTTTAAGTCTTTGGGACGGTTACAAATTTCTTTACAATATCTATTATTTTTAGAGGGATCCATTACAACGCTACTTAAATCTGAAGACCGCAAGTTTTCCAAAATAGGCCAATTAGTAGTTGCAAGCCGACCAGTTGTTTCCTAAATAGCAAAAACATACTCAAGTGGAGTATATGAAGCTCAGAGCAGACTCTCCAACGAATACAAGTTTCCTAAAACCATGAAGAGTGATGATCCTCGCATCGTAAAAACTGTACTGGCAAAACCGAGAAACTACCCTTATAAATGGTCTTAACTGTGAGACGTGATAAGAATCTTGCAATTTTAAGATCAACACTCAAGCGTCACCGTAAGAAAAATAACGTAGACACTTATTGGCGCCAAATAATATCACAACTCACAAAAAAATTATCACTTTAAGACTGAAAGGAATGAAATCGGATTTTGGAACAATGGATAAAACGATTAAACAGAAAATAAGATATTCATTAGGCTTACTTTGCTTATATATAAAAGAACGCTGCTCGTATCCCCTGTTGCTGTAAAAAATAGAATTCTCTTCGTAGATTATGGTGCGAGCAGCTATCAGACCAGAGCTTCTATATTTTTTGTAGGCGATACTCTGGGAAAGGAAAAATAGTATTTAAAGGTGTTAAAAGATGCTTTTAACCCCTCCTAGAAAACAGTGAGAGCCAATACGGCTACATTTTTATGCTAGACCTGCCACATAGCAAAAAAAAAAAATGGGCTCCCTCAAGTGGGCCCCGAATTTACCAAGATTAATATTTTTCAATGATACTCAGGCAGCACCGAGTTTTGTAGTCGAAAAGTACACTGTGTAAATTTTGTAGCAAAATTCCAAATAGTTTTTTTTTAATCAAGTATTGAAAAGTTTTGGAAATTTTTATTTTTCTTTGAAAGTAAGTGTCCGAACGAAACAATCTTTTTTGGCTGCAGATTTAAAAAACATTAAACTATACAATGAAATTATTTCTGTTACAAAAATATTTTGTTTTTGCTTTTCAATAATTTTTTATGAACAATTCAACATTGAAAACATTTGTGCGCCTAGTGGACGAAAATTTTTAACAACAACTTACATATGTAATAAACATTTCTGCATTTACTATGACAAAATGCGTGCATTTCGATATAGCTTGGTCGGAATGAATTTTTGTTTGTCAGCGTTCGGGCCCGACTTACAAATGGTTTCATAGAACGCGAATGAGTCCAACTGGGTAAACCCAGGCATGCAGTTATAACAAAAATTGGCAATGACAACGCGATTCAGCTCCACGCAAGCTACGGGAATGCGTTTCCAGTTATGGCGTGAGCTTACAAAATTAGTCCACCTATTTTAAGATTCAACAGTTGATTAATTTTTTTCTAAAACCACACGATCGTAACAATGAAGAAAATTTTCTATTGGCCCTTGGGATATTTAGGCAGAACTCTCCATACTCTTTTTCCCCTAGAGTTTGGGGGCCATAGTGAATATCAATAATAAATAATGCAACTTTGTTTCACAGCCTCAATATGGCAACACTGAGAGCGCATTGAATGCTCCCATTAAAATAAGAGTTGGTTAAGAGAACGCAACTTACTTAAGTTGGCAATTGGAATGTTAACACTGTTGCCAACTTAGTGCTTTTCGCACTAAATTTAGTGCTTTGGTACTTGGTGCGTTTTTTTGGTACTTTTTTAGTTTGGAGACACCAAAACTGTAAATCTGAAACAAAAATAGAAGTTAAATTTAGAGCAATTGAAAGCATATGTTTGTAAAAAAATATGTGGCAGCACTTTCAATCACGTCAGAGTTAAATACGGTAATTTGCCATTGCCTGCAAAAACGTCCACGTTGCTGGGATCAGATACTGCTCTTTAAACCTTTAATTTGGGCTGAAGTTGTTATATTTTTTAAAAATCGCTAGCTTAGAGTGAAAAGTTGCTAAGTCCACTTTTTATGAAAACTCATATTTTGATACAAGAAAGTAAAAATGCATCGTTTCGAAAAGGGTAAAGGTCCTTGTTCATGTTTTCTCGTTTATATTGAATGAAAGAAAAATTTGCTAAGTCCAAAAAATGCTCCGAAAATTCGATAAGGCTAAAATAGTACGAAATCTTTGAATATAGATCGAATCCCTTTGATTCGTATGGAGTTTGTCTTTGCTTTAAGCAGGCAAAATGTTGTATTCAAAGTTTTGCGAAATACTTGAAGAAAATGGCTATAATGAAGTTTTTTTCCTCTCCTGTACAATTTTCAAATAGGGACTTAGCAACTTTTCACTTTAAGCTAGCGAAATATTAAAAAAAGCACCTTCGACCGGCGAGCAAGAAACACTAATTTGAATCGGCATACCTACAATAAAATGTTGTATGCATACAAAGTCCATTAAATCTTGTAATAAAAAATTTGGTGTTTTTTTCGAGAAAAACGCGATTTTTCTTGGGTTTTAGTACTTTTTCAAACTCAAAATTCAAAACTTGGCAACACTGCTAGTTAATGCATTTGAAGTGCATATGAGTATTTCGTACTTATTTAGGCGTCGAAGTAAACATGGATTACATACTATGTAAATATGTATGCACATGGCTGTGCAAGTCTGTTACTACTGCAAACAGCGGCGTTGGAAAGCTGTTGCTTGTTTGTGATGGTTCATAGATGTTGATAACTACAGAAAGCATTAAGGATATTGCGCATTGGGTGAGCAACCAGCATAAGAAACAACAAAAAAAAAACGGTTATTAAAGACTTAAAATAACTAAGTTTAATGGCAAAAATTTGATTTGCTGACTTGGTTTTCGTATTCATTCAATCAAGCATTGCCACATCGCATGCAACGTAAAGACTGTTAACAGAAATCTTGTAAGCACATACTAAATACTGTTAATGGCAGACTTAAAAGTTCGCTGCTAAAACGATCTGCTGTTGATCTGCTCTGTTTCTAAATTATGTTAATAACGTAGCATAAAGAAATAACGAAAACACAGCAGTGTTAATGCTCCGTTACGACACTGTTATTCCTCTGTTACGTTGCTTTACACGTTTTACAGTAGCGGCGATGCAAATGTGAGCAGATGCAACACGATTTTCCCAAATGAAAAATAGGGACAAAAAAAAACTTAAAAAGTGAATCAAGAAGAATGGAAACTAGCTTTATTGGATTGCTGATTTTAAGGGAAAAGTGAAATACAATTTGAGAAACTTTGAGAAAAAATAAACCAAACAAAAGCTGGCATCACTTTTGTGGCCAACAGTGTAATAAGGCATGTAACTGCATTGGAAGTGCAAAAAATTGTTAAAAAAGTTTTAAATTTTTTCATTTGACTTTCTTTACCTTAACTACCAGTAAACGCTGGCTTTAGCAAATACATACCACGTCGACCGCATGATTTATAGCATTATTAATAACAAAATACCTTCGAATTCTCAAGCATGCAACAGTACAGTGGTCGGCGCGAAAAAAAATGTAATTACTTGAAAGGGTATAAATTAAGTTTTAATTAAAACATTGAAAAACATACATACATAGGTAAACAAATCACGCTATTTAAATACATATTCATTAGACAGAGATATGAATGTAAATTATTTAAACAAGTATTGAATGGGAATTATATAACAATCAAAAATTATTAAAAAATATATATGTATATATGCATTTCTATAATTGTTATTGGTCTTTTTTTGTCGTGTGTAGCGCTATTATTAGTAGAAGCAAGAATGATGTTTAGACAAGCACTAGAAAATGAAATTATTCATATGAACAGATGAATGCTTATGCATGTGCATTAGACTGCACCACCAAAAACCGGGATTAAAAAAATTTATTATATTTTAAGACTTCCACCAAAATATTTCGGAAAAATATTAGGACTTACGTGAGCTGGACCGATTTGAAAATACCTCCAAAAATCGATTTTTTTTTATGAAAAAAATAGTTTCTTAAAGGACTTTTTGGAAAAAATCTCCTCGGATGACAAAAAAGTTTAAACTTTAAAAATCTGCATAAAAATATTCAAATTTTTTTTTAACGGAATCATAATGGGATTTTTGGATGCTGTTTTTTTTTAAACTTTTTCGATTCCGTTGAAAACTTTTTTTTAAATACTTTTTGCAAATTTTTTAAGTTTAAACTGTTTTGTCACCTAAGGTGATTTTTTGAAAGAAAAAAAAACTTAAAAAAACTGTCTTTATTCACAAAAACCTAAATTTTTGGAGGTATTTTCAAATCTGTCCAGCTCACGTAAATCTTAATATTTTTCCGAAATATTTCGGTGAATCTCAAAATATAATAGATTTTATAATACCGGTAGAAAAACAGTACCTATTTTTTTTTGTATGGGGTGTGATGCAGTCTAATGTACATACGTAAGGATGTTTGCATGCCTGTAGTTGGTATGTAGACAGCAAATAGACACAAAACTAGAAACAAAGTAATAAATTCAAATCAATTCGACTTGAATAAAAAAAAATGTATGTGGAACACGTTTTGCATTTTAATTACTATTTGCATTCTATTCATATTCCATCGTGTGCACAGTGCAAGTAAAGGGGCGTTTAAATGCTTTTATTTTATGAACGCGAATGGACATCAGTAGCTCAAGAGATTAATCGAAAGTACTTGAAAAGCTTGAAACGTTTACAAAATATTGTACGTAATAAAAC